CACCCTACCAACTCAGGGAAGCTGTGAAAATGCCAAGACAAGGAAACAGATCACAAACAAAAGAAATGGAGGACAAGAAGCGACTGGATATAGTGTTCAAAACCACGGTTATAAGGTTTTTCAAGAATTTCCTAGAAAAGGCCGATAAAATAAACAAGACCTATGAGGATATGAAAAGGGATCAACTAGAAATAAATAATACATTGTCTGAAATAAAAAATATTATACAGAGTCCTAAAAACAGAATGGAAGATTGCAAGAATCAAGTCAAAGACTTGGAACACAAAGAGACAGAGGACACTCCTCCACAGAAGCAAGAAGATAAGAGAATCCAGAAAGTTGAAGATAGTGTAAGAAACCTCTGGGACAATTTCAAATGAACCATCAGAATTATGGGGGTCCAGAAGAAGAGAGAGAGCAAAATACCGAAAGAATACTGGAAGAAATAGTGACAGAAAACTTCTCCCACCTGGGGAAAGAAATAGACTTACAAATCCAGAAAGTACACAGAACCCCAAACAAAAGGAATCCAAAGAGGACCACACCAAGACACATCATAATTAAAATTCCAAGAACAAAAGACAAAGAGAGAATATTAAAAGCAACGAGAGAAAAGCAGGTAGTTACCTATAAAGGAGCACCTATACGATTGTCAGCTGATTTCTCAACAGAAACCATGCAGGCCAGACAGGAATGGCAAGAAATATTCAAGGTGATGAACAGCAAGAACCTACAGCAAAAAATACTCTACCCAGCAAAGCTATCACTCAGAATCGAAGGCCAGATAAAGAGTTTCACAAATTAAAAAAAAGTTAAAGGAGTTCATCACCGCCAAACCAGAATTACATGAATTGCTAAAGGAAGTTCTTTAGGAAGAGGAAGAAGATAAAGATAAAAATTATGATCAACAAATATGTAACCATCAACAAGTGAAACTAAAAGCCAAGGGAATTAAAATACCTGATGAACAATATTAACTGGTGAATATAATAGAATCAGAGGTATGGAAGGGGAGTGGACAGACAATTCTCTGGGAAAAGGGGAGTGGGGGTTGTGGGAAGAGACTGAACAAAAACTGTGCACCTATGGATGAGGACAATGGGGGGTGGGGAAAGGGCAGAGGGTGGGGTGGGAACCTGGTGGAGGGGAGCAATTGGGGGTGAAGGGAAAGAGGAACATTTTTAATAATCTGAACAATAAAGATTTCTTTAAAATTAATTAATTAATTAACTAATTAATTAATTTTTTAAAACTTTGAAAATAAAAAAGAGTTAGGGAAATGGGTAAAAGGTGCACAAGATCACTGTATTTTAAAAACTGTATGCTATCTACAATTACCTCAATAAATTTAACTTTAAAAATATATTTTTATTGATTTCAGAGAGGAAGGTAAAGAGAGAGAGAGAAAGTGAGAGATAGAAACACCAATGAGAGAGAATCATTGATCAGCCTCCTCCTGCACATCCCCCACTGGGGATCGTGCCCACAACCTGGGCATGTGCCCTGACAGGGAATCAAACCAGTGACCTCCTGGTTCATAGGCCAACGCTCAACCACGCCAGTCAGATGGATTCTCTTATCATTGATGTTTCCATCTCTCTCTCCCTCTCCCTTCCTCTCTGAAATCAATCAATCAATATATATATATATATATATATATATATATATATGTGTGTGTGTGTGTGTGTGTGTGTGTGTGTGTGTGTGTGTAAAAAAGAAAGAAAGAAAGAAAGAAAGAAAGAAAGAAAGAAAGAAAGAAAGAAAGAAAGAAAGAAAGAGAAAGAAAGAGAAAGAAAGAAAGAAAGAAAGAAAGAAAGAAAGAAAGAAAGAAAGAAAGAAAGAAAGAAAGAAAGAGAGAAAGAGAGAAAGAAAGAGAGAAAGAGAGAGAAAAAGAAAAAAGAGCCGAAACCGGTTTGGCTCAGAGGTGGAGCATCGGTCTGCGGACTGAAAGGTCCCGGTTCGATTCTGGTCAAGGGCATGTACATTGGTTGTGGGCACATCCCCGGTAGGGGGTATGCAGGACGTTTCTGGCTCTCTATCTCTCTCCCTTCTTCTCTGTGAAAAATCAATAAAATATATTAATAAAAAAAAGAAAGAAAGAAAGAAAGAAAGAAAAAGAAAAAAGAAAAAAGAATTCTCTGAGCAAAGCTTAGTGTTCCAAACGTTCCTGTATGAGTACCATCTACCTAGAGGAAGAACTCTAGGCAAGTGTGCAGTCCCTGTACGAAGGAGAGGGGTCTTATGGTCTGGGAAGGACCTCAGAGAATCTAATTTAGAGTCAATATATTAAATAACACTTTTTCTTATTAGAGAAGTAACACATGTTCAATATGAAATGTTAGAAAACTCACATTTTCTCAGCAACCAAAGATAAAGTCTTTGTAATCTCAGCAACCAAAGATAAAGTCTCTTGATATTTACAAATGTCCTATGAGTACTTTTTCTGGTTATATTGCTTGACAATATAAAGGGAATGTTTTCCCATTCCCATAAACTTTCTCTCAGAATGTAATATAATGGCAACACAGTTTTTCATCCTAGAGATGCGCCATCACTTATTTAACCTTTTTCTTATTGCTGAGTATTTTATATATTTTTTCCCTATAATAGACTGAGTGTTGTCTGCATTGGGAATTTTTTCCTCAGTGGTAGTGGTCTTTTCTGATGAACTCTTTAAAGTGCATGTGATAACCATGGTAGGGACTTGTTCTCATTAAAACTCCAAATCCTCACAGTTTGGTCCAAAGGCACTGTCCTGACTGGTCAGAATCGAGCCACTTTGATTAGTTGGTGAACAAGCTAATACTGATATAGCTGTGCAGGTCCAATTGGATGGGGAAAGCCTCAGTCCTTTTGGTTGAAATAGGAGTCCAGGAACTCCTTTTATTTTTATCTTTATTGTTGAAAGTTTTACAGATATTTTCTGTTCGTTGTTGCTGTTGTTGTTGTTGTTGTTCTCCCCATTGACTCCCTTCTTCCCACACCAGCCCCTCCCAAGTCTTCACCACACTATTTTCTGTGTCCATGGGTTATGCTTATATGCATATAAGTTCCCAGTTAATAAGTTCCTTCTGAATATATGTAATATTTTAAACCATAAAAAAGTATTTTTAAAAAAGTTCTCTCTGAAATTCATGTCTGTTCCATGGTTCTGTATCTCTGAATCTATTTTGTTCATCTGTCAGGAGCTCCTTTTTCAGGGCTGGCTCAGAGGGTAAGAACACAATGCAGGCAAACAGCTCAGTGCAGGCTTCTCCCTGAAGTGCAGTTTGCAGGAGAGGCTCCTGAATAGTATTGGCTGCTAGTATCTTTTTTAAAAATTTGAGTCCAGTTCACCACTGGAAGCCCTTCTCAGGGTCCACAGAGCAAAGGCAACACTTTTACCCATCCAGTCACCAGATTAAGATATACCATAGTTGCTAGCATGACTCAGTGGTTGAGCATTGACTTATGAACTAGGAGGTCAGGGTTGGATTCCCCCTCAGGGCATGCCTGGGTTGCAGGTTCAATCCCCAGTGGGGGGCATGCAGAAGCCAATGGATCAAAGATTGTTTCCCAACATTGATGTTTCTCTCTCTCTCTCTCTCACTCTCTCTCTCTCTCTCACCCTCCCTCTCTGAAATCAATAAAAATGTTTTTAAAAAAGATATACCATAGTTGACTTTTTGCTACACGCTAATTTAACAGTTCAGAACATTTACTATATTATTTGTAGCTAATTTGCTAACTTGCATTCAAATACCAATAAGATGGTGGGACATCTGTTTGGAAGTGAAGCTCAGAGTTAGACTACCTAGGTTTAAATGTAGTTGTCACCTAACAGGCTAAGTGATTACGGGTGTGGAATTTAACAACCAAGCCTCAACTTTCCTCAGCTACAAATGGGGTTAAAAACAGAATCTATCTCATAGGATTGTGGGGACTAAATGAGGTAATATTATGTAAAAGTGCTTGCCACTGTACCTGGCATATAATGATCTCTGTGTTAGCTCTTTACCTAAGGGGCTGGTTTAATATGGAGAGAAACTAACGTAAAAAAAAGAAAGAAGGAAGGAAGGAAGGAAGGAAGGAAGGAAGGAAGGAAGGAAGGAAGGAAGGAAGGAAGGAAGGCCACAAATTTATTAACTATTCATTGTTGTTCTCTTTAGTCGCCTAAATCTGGCTTCTATCTCATCTTATGGTTACTTCATTCTCCCGGAGGTGTGGAGAGTAAGAGGACCAAGACTTCAGAATTCTCCGGAGGGGGGGGAAAGAAAAATCAAGGAACGTAGGCAGTTAATCAGGGAGAAAATACCCTGTTTCCCCGAAAATAAGACAGTGTCGTATATTAATTTTTGCTCCCAAAGATGCGCTAGGTCTTATTTTCAGGGGATGTCTTATTTTTCCATGAAGAAGAATACGGTACACATTTATTGTTAAATGAAAATAAAGGAAATTTATTACCTGTATACGGTACGATAGTACGGTAGTTATCAACACAAACCAGACAAACTGTGAATCCTACAGTATCAAGAATTTACTCATTTATAGAATGACAATCATGTCATCATCTTCTGGAACATCATCATAAGAATCCTGAAATTCCTGAATTTCCTGGTGAATTTCTTGTGACTCCTAGGGGGGGCCTTATTTTCGGGGAGGTGGGGGGGTGCCTTATATTTCACTCAGAAGGAAACCTGTAAGTAGATCTTCTTTTCGGAGGATGTTTTATTTTCGGGGAAACACGGTAGCCACAGACCCAGGGAACTCGCCCGCCCAGCTGGATTTCAGAACCCGGAGACCAATTCCAACCCAGACCACGCCGCTTCACGCTGGTTACCTAGAAACTGACGTCCAAGTCCCTCCCACCTACCCGATTGGTTTACTGGCTCTTAGCAACCACTCGCTCTCCTCATTGGCTGATACCTCCCGTGCCCACGTTCCGTTCGCTGGGAAGTTCGCTGCGGGAGACTCAAGGTCCCAGGCAACTACACTTCCGTTTCCGGGTCGCATCCGGAGTCATGGCGACTGCGAGAGGCCCGAGTTATCTGCTGTCACTGGGCAGATGGCACCGCGGCTTCGGAGTGACTCCCCAGGCCCGGGTGAGTGCCCACTGCCCCTGCTTCAGCCTGCGGATCTGGGCAACAGCTCCGCCCCGAGCGGGCGCGCCCCCGGCGGCCTTCCCCGCTGCCCCGCGAGCTGCTTTTCTTTCCCCCCCGGCCTGCAGGCTCTCGCCGCCCTCGTGCCCGGTGTATCCCAGGTGGATAACAAGTCCGGTTTTCTGGAGAAGAGGCCCCATCGGCGGCACCCCGGCGTCCTGAAGCTGCCGTGTGTGCGGCTGCCCCGAGCGCTGGCTGACGCCGCGCAGGTAGTGCTGCTCGGTGAGTGGCGGCGGGAGAGGGAAGCTCGAGGAGAAGCGGAGACCGCGCCTTCTTCATTCATCTGATGCCGCTTTTCCTCTCTGGACCACAGAGCATTCAGTGCCCAATGTGGAGAAGCAGGTGCAAGCATTGACCAATTACCTCTGGAGCCGGCATTTACCTGTAGAGCCAGAGGAGTTGCAGAGACGGGCAGCACATCTTGAGAAAAAATTCCTGGAAAACTCTGGTAGGGCTTAAGAATAATTAAAGAGTTGTTCAGATAGTGAGAATGAAGACCAAGAAATAATTTTAGTCTCTCAAATAGATATTGCAGTTTCTTGTTTGACTTTTGGGGACACAACAGTTATTTACAATGATGCCTTACTAAGAGAAGGTAGATTATTACAATGATTCCTTACCAAGAAAAGATAGATTATTTCAGAGATTGTCCTTTGGAGAAGGTCAAAGAGTGCTTTGTTGTTTTTTTTCCTCCAAATCCATTGGATTAGGACTGTCTACGTTTTTATTCTGAAATAAAGCCCTTACATGACTCCTTATCTAGTGCTGAAATCTTCAGGGATAGAAGAATATATATATAATGCATTGTCATTTTCATGATTGTGAGCTCCTTCATATTATAGACCTGTCTTATACATCTTATATTCCCTGTACTTCCCACAGTACTTGGCTCATGGTAGGCACTCAGTAAATAAAATAGTACTGAACTGAAGATTCCCAAGTCCCATTCCTCCTTGTAGGAACAGTGGAGACGTCACAATTTTAAGTTTTGGGCTGTGAGGAAATCCACAAAATATTGTCCTTATCCTATAACTTTTTTTATATATACTCTCTGAAATCAATAAGACGTATTGATTTCAGAGAGAGAAGGAAGGAGAGGAAAATATCAGTCAATTCCCTCCCATACACACCCGACTGGGGATTGTACCCACAACCTTTTTGGTGTATCGGACAATACTCCAAACAACTGAGCCACCCATCCAGGGCTCCTTTACACATCTTTACCACATTCCCCTTCAACGTAGAGAACAAAACCTGTGGGATGGGAAGGGTCAAATTAAATAAACTGCTATTAGAGACAAATACTATCTGATACATTGGTGCAATAGTTATTCCTACCTGAAATTTTTCTCTAGGTTTGGCTTCTCTTAAGCTTTAAGGCTTTTCCCAGGTGAGAATTGGGGAGGGTTGGGCAGACAGTATATTCAGATACTAGATTTGAGCCTTATTCTTCCTTGTTCTCACCCCAGACTCATTTCAGACAGAGGAGAAACTTCGTGAAGCAGTGCTGCATGCCCTACGTAAAACTACCTACCATTGGCAAGAACTGAGGTAAGGGGTGGGGGGCTGCAGAAGGAAGAGAAGTTTGGTTTTTGAAGGAGAGTCGGGCAAGCACAATTACATAGTTTTATGTTTCAAAAAGCTCCCCAGGACTCTTCTGTATTGCAAAGTGAAATTGCTGACCTGGAAGAGCCCATTTCAAAAATTTCATTTCCTAAAATCCTAGAGGGTACCTGTGGGATAGAGGTTATTTCCCAGTGGAAGTGACTCTGATTTTTCCTGGCAGCTACAACGAGGGACTAAGCTTGGTGTATATGGCCGCAAGACTGGATGGTATCTTTGCAGCAGTCTCCAGGGCATTCCATGAGGTGAAGATCCCACAGCTTCCAACCTGAACCCTTTTACCATCGGTTCCTTTATTCATAAAGTAGTCTTCTGGGATAGGATTCTTGGGACATTTCATGTGCGGTTTTTGGGGGGTTTTTTTAATATATTTTATTGATTTTTTACAGAGAGGAAGGGAGAGGGAGAGAGAGTCAGAAACGTCGATGAGAGAGAAACATCGACCAGCTGCCCCCTGAACAACCCCCACTGGGGATGTGCCCACAACGAATGTACATGCCCCTGACCGGAATCGAACCTGGGACCTTTCAGTCCGCAGACCGACGATCTACCACTGAGCCAAACCGGTTTCGGCTCATGTGCATTTTTTAAGAGGCTCTCCTTATCCTCTAAAAGGATATTGGGACCCTGAAAGGTTTAGATTCACTGTTTTAGGAGCTTCCTGTTATGTAAAGTATTTATATTAAATCTCAAAATACAGTCACCCTCTCATACCTTCCGTCTTGGTCTCCTAATTCATTTTTGCCAAGGCCCTAAATATGTGGCTACTTACTGTACTTTGGGGTATTGTATATTTCTTTAGATCCAGACTCAACTTCCAGAGTTCCAACCAAAAACCCTGATGGACTTTGGGTCAGGTACTGGTTCTGTTACCTGGTAAGTATCTTTCTCTGTCTCTATCTATTCTAGCTTTAGAGAGCCAGGCTTACACAAAACTAATATCAAAAGACTGGGGAAATAGGAAAGTTGGGAATTTAAATGTTCTTCCCTCAAGTGGATTAGAGCCAGTACTTAAATGTTAAGTGATAAAAAGACCCACATTTACAAAGATAAAAGGAAGGAATTTAGTGTAGGGCATAAGTTTTACATATCAAAATTATTTTGCCTACAGTAGTTTTCCTGATTCTGTGTTTGTTTGTTTGTTTGTTTGTTTGTAAATAATAAAATAACGTTGTTAGTTTTTCCAACATTTAGCATAGCATTCTGTTTCCCCAGGGTTGGGGTTCAGATTAGAGGGTTCTCTTGTAGGAATGAATCTTTATCATGAGAACTGGTGATTTATATTTTGTCATCTTAGGGCTGCTCATAGTATTTGGGGTCAGAGCCTACGTGAATATATGTGTGTCGACAGTTCATCTGCCATGTTGGATTTGGCAGAAAAGTTACTGAAAGGTGAGGACAAGCTATAAGGAAGGGCTTTTCCAAAGTTAAAGGAGCTAAGAAAGCAAAGGCATACTGGAAAGAGTGTTTTATTTGCGAGTAAGGGGGAGAGCTAAAAGTTAAAAATTAGTCTGGTATCCTTCCAATTTTATGGTCAAGTGGAGGGGTAGGGGGGTAGGGAGAAGGCTTTGCTGGACTGTGAATGGGTTGGGAAAGATTAACACGACAGGTTTCTCAGTATTCTCCTTGTCCTTTTTAATATTTGCTTACCTTATCCATCTCACTCTCACCTAGCATTTTCTTTATTCTCAGGGCCATGTTTCTTATCAGGATATCACTTCAATTTATACTTATATACTGGCAGTGTTCAACCTTTTTCATCTCATGGCACACATAAGCTAATGATTAGAATTCAGCAGCACACCAAAAAAATATTTTTTGCCCATCTGACAAAAATTAGGTATTGTTTTGATTCATTCACACCAGATGGCTATTGTTTTGGCTGTCTTTTTTTTTTTATTTGACAACCTAAGGGAAAAGAGGTCAGTGCCCCTGACTAAATAGTCAGGTATCACATGTTGTAAACGTTCTTGTGGCACACCGGTTGAAAATCAATGCTGTACTAACTCATAGTTGCCTCACCTCTGTCTTTACAGGTGGTTCAGAAAATGGGAAGCTGTATATTCCAGGTGTCTTTTTCAGACAGTTTCTACCTGTATCACCTAAGGCAAGTGGAAATATGTAGAGTATGCTAAATATGGGATTTGGCAGATGGAAAACTATGGCCTCAGCATTGCAACCCAGCATTGAATGTTAGAAGATAAGACAGCAGAAGAAATTTAGAGGGAGAACTTTATTGTGCTCTAGAAGGAGGAGATAGCAGGTCTGTCATGTTCTTTGTTTTGGTCCTCAGATACAGTTCAATGTGGTGGTATCAGCCTTTTCCCTTAGTGAACTGCCCAGCAGGGCTGACCGCACTGAGGTAGTCCAAACCTTATGGCGCAAGACAAGTGACTTTCTGGTGAGTAAAAATTCACTTTTCCTTTCAAGTTTTAAAGCAGCTTCATGGGTTTCATTCCTTTCCTTCTCTACATTGGAGCTTGTCTTCATTTTCGACCATTTTTTCTCCTGCATAGATTCCTTAGTCCCACTGATAGGGTCACCTTAGTCCCACTATCTTATATATAATACCATTTCCTTTAGGACTGCTATTCCATCTGTGAATGTTCTTACAGAGCTACTGACATTTGTGCTTTCATGTAATTCAGGGCTTCTGCTCATTTTCCCCTTTGTGAACAGATATTGGTGGAGAATGGAACAAAAGCTGGGCACTGCCTTCTCATGGAAGCCAGGGACCTGGTCCTTAAGGTGAGGTTCTTTCTCCTCCTCGTCCCTCAACCCCTACCTATCTGTCACCAATTACCAGTACTCCCTTAAAAATGGAAAAGACTGTCATACAAAGGTAAGTGACTCTCAGGCGAGTAGGCATGTAAAGTCATTATGCTGTAGGGTGGTGGCTGGCAAAGTAGGACCTGTGGATCAAATCCTGCCTGCCAGGATTTGTATGAGCCAGGCTTATTTGAGTGTCTGTTGTGTATGGCTGCTTTCACACTACAAATGGCAGAGAGGAATAGTTGGGACACAAACACATTTTGGCTACCCTCTGGGCCTTTAAAAAAGTTTGCTGACCCCGGACCTAGGACATGGCTGAGCCAAAAACCTTATCTCTAGGGCTGTATGAGCCAGTGTAAAATCATGAATTTAATTGTCCTGGAATGGGATTTTTTTTTTTTTAAAGTGGAGGTTCCTGACAAGGAGAGCACCATTCTATGTGCCAAGTTCCTGCCTTTCTCCTGCTGCAAAGAGAAAGTTCTTTGTTTGGAGAATTAGAGAAGTAGCCAGCTTAACTCAAAGAACATAATAACTAGCAGAATCGGATGTTAAAGGAGTCCTCGATTGAGTGCAGAGATTGACTTATGAGAATAGACCCTGTAGGCTCTGCTTAATTTTGTTATTTCCTTTGACTTCAGGGAAAGGAGAAGTCACCTCTGGACCCTCGGCCTGGTTTTGTCTTTGCCCCAGTGAGTATTGCTTCTACCTTTCCCAGCATGCAAAGAGCTGAGCTCAGCCGTGTCCAGGACATGTGAGAGGGCAAAGCTAAGCCACCCTCCACTGCTTTGTGTCCCGATCCGATTTCTTCTTAGTGGATTCCCTGCTCTTCCTACCCCTGCTCCTGTGCCTCCTGACCCCTGGCCCTTCCTGCCCCTCGCACCCTTCGTTTCCCTGTATTATGATCTGTGGTTCTTTCGTCTTACCTCATGTTTTCATGTGTGTTTACAGTGTCCCCATGAACTTCCTTGTCCCCAGTTGACAGCCTCTAAGCCTCTGGCCTGTAGCTTTTCCCAGGCGTACCATCCCATCCCCTTCAGCTGGGTATGTATCCTGGGAATATTGCAGCAGGGAGGAGGTAGCTTGGGAAAGCAGGATGAAAAAGAATCAGGTGGGGGGAGTTGGAAAATTCCGAGAGCGTTTGTAGAGCCTGAATGTGCATGGCCTAGAATATGAAAAAGGCTATAGGAATGGGGGTCAACATTTTCCCCATATCTTTTTCCCCAAAACAGTCTCTCTACCCTTACCTTAGAGCAAGAAGCCAAAGGAGGAAAAGTTCTCGATGGTAATCCTTGCCCGGGGGTCTCCAGAGGAAGCTAATCGCTGGCCGCGGATCACTCAGCCTGTCCTTAAACGGCCACGCCATGTGCACTGTCACCTGTGCTGTCCAGATGGGCAGATGCAGCATGCTGTGCTCACAGCCCGCCGCCATGGCAGGTACAGAGGCTGTGACCACGGTGGGTGGGAGGTGGCAGGAACCTGCCCCCAACACTAACCTCTCTTTTTCATAGGGATTTGTATCGCTGTGCCCGTGTCAGCTCCTGGGGAGATCTTTTACCTGTGACCACGCCATCTGAGCTGCTTCCGTCCCCTGTTGAAGATCCCCCTGACAGTTGACAAGGAGCTGTAACAAGGGTTTTCTTGTATCAAGCCTGCCAAGGCTAATGCTACCTGGTATCCAGGATGGGAGTGCTGTTACTCCTGCACAAACTGCATTTGTTTGAAGTTTTAATAATTAAAAGATTTCAAAGAACATGGGGTCTTGTAATTCTTAAAAGGTATAAATGTTAGTCATCACAGCCTCTCCTGTAACAAAGTGAGTCCTCAGAGATTCAGTGCCTCTTCCCACAGAAACCTCAAGCTCAGCCCCTCCTGTAAGAATACAGCTGCTTCTCCCAGAGACCAGGACTTCCCAGGGAAGTAATGGGGGAGTGGGAAAGCCACCCCCAGCACTCTGAGAACTGGCTCAACAGGTCTCAGGGTAGTTAGATGGGCCACCTGGACAGGTGACCAGCAGCTGCCTGGCCTCTGTTTTTTCTACCTCCTTTCTTTCCTTTTATCTCTCAGGGTTCATCAGCTCCCCAGAGTTTGTCTCATGAGTGTCCTTCAAGAATTGATCCCGTCAGGATCAAATCATCCATCTCAACCCCGGCATATCCACACAGGGTCCTGCATTTACTTGGTTCATTTCTGTGTTCCCCTAGGCCTTGCTGTTTCAGAGCTAGAGCAACTTTCTGTGTATTAAAACTCTCAGTCCCTCTCCTGCAATATACATCAGGAAGTAGGCACAGTCAGAAGTGTTAACAGTTTCAATGTTGTAATACTTGAAATCTCAACTCCCACTAGACATTTCCATACCTGGAGCTATTTTTCTGGGATTAAAGGAAAGGGGAGTCCCCTCATCTGCTAGTTCCCAGAGTGACAGCAGCACCACTCCTTAGCCCCACCTCCTTCTTAACCCCAGGTGGCCCCAAATCCCCTCTGAAAGGGTAAGGTTCAGGTATCAGCATAGCAGCCTATAAGACTTGCATTGGGGTGGGGAGGGTATGGAAGGCTTAGATCAAATGTCCTGAGTGAGCCAGGACCAGATTGTCCCCAACACAAAATAGCTGGGAAGTAGCTACCATAGACTGCCATTTTGGATTAGACCAGCCCCAGGCATGAACTAAGTCCACAATCCTTGGATTAGTCATGGAACTGAAGAGAGGACAGAGCACAGGGCTGTGCCTGGCAGGGAGTCTGGAGTTTCTGGTTTGGTGTGAGCCAGGGGAGGGGCCTCCATGTAGGGGGAGGGCGGGAAGCTAGGGCTGGGCCCCAGTCAGCTATGCAAGGCTGTGCAAACAGGCAGCACGAAGAGGATCCAGCAGCTTCCTGAGACTCAGGAGTGGACACTACAGCTTTGACCACCTAAGGCACCACTCCTGCTCCAAAGCTTGTAACTCCATTTGTCATTCTGAGGTCTCTGCTTATCCTGTACCCCAAGGATGGAACCAGTGCTAGGAGTAAAAATTGGCTGCCTATTTGCCCTGCTGGTTCTCACGCTGGTCTGTGGCCTCATTCCCATCTGCTTCAAGTGGTTCCAGATGGAGGCAGCCAGAGGTATAGCCCTTCTGTATCTTTGCCCCCATAACCTGACTTTAACCCTGTCATCCTCCCCTTGCTCTGACTCTCTTGCCATCCCCAAGCTTGGATGTTGAGTGCTCCTTGTTGCTCCTTAGTCACCTTTGTCCATCTCCTCATCGCCAGTATTGTAACCCCTGCTTTTCATTAGGTCGTCACCGTCAGGTCCTCAGCCTCCTGGGCTGCATTTCTGCCGGCATTTTCCTGGGAGCAGGGTTCATGCACATGACTGCTGAAGCCCTGGAGGGAATTGAGTCGGAGATCCAGAAGGTCATGATGCAGGTGAGCAGCTGAGGTGTAGGGCTGAGAAGCCAGATGATGAGCAGAACCAAGGGGAGCCAGGGGGGGAAGTGATAGAACCAAGGACATGGGTGGAACGATAGAGACAATGTCAGCTCTTGTGTTGTGTGGAATCATGACAACAGGTCAACTTACACTGTAAGGAAAGCAGTGGAGCTGAAGGGAAAGGGCAGGAAGCTGAGCTGCTCTATCCCCCATCTAATTTCTGCTTTTTTCTCCCTAGAACAGGACAGAGAGTGGGGGGGATTCTTCTGGAGATGCTAATTCAGCTTATGTAAGTATCTCCCACACCCAACCTGGAGGGTGAGGAGAACCGGAGACTCCTCATATCCAGATCCTTTTGAGGAGTATCAGGAATCCCTCTGCTCCTCAGCTCAGACACTGTAGGGAAAGGCGGAGCCAACCCGATCCTTTGGGGTTTATGGAACCCAGACAAAGCTCTGGCTTTACTCTTCCTTCTTTCCCTAGACCCTTAGACATGCTCCCCATCGTTTTCCCACATTCCAACCCTGCTGACGCTGCAACCTTGGCCCCTCTGGTATTCTTATCGCATTTCCATATCTCCCCCAGGCTTCATTCGCCTTCCCTGTTTAATGGTTTAGTCCCACATTACCCATTCTCTCCAGTGTCCCATCCCACCTCCACACCTCCATCCACTGCGCTTCCTTTCCTGTCCCACAGCCCCTCTCTCTGTTCCCAGACGGACTATCCCTATGGAGAGCTCATCATCTCCCTGGGCTTCTTCTCCGTCTTCTTTTTGGAGTCGCTGGCATTGCAGTGCTGTCCCGGAGCCCATGGAGGAGCAAAAGTGCAGGAGGAGGAAGTAGGTGGGGCTCATGTCCTTGGACTCCACAGCCATGGACCTCTACCCTCACCCTCACAGAGTCCCTTTCGAGCCCTCATCCTTTTGCTCTCTCTCTCCTTCCACTCGGTGTTTGAAGGTCTGGCTGTGGGGCTACAGACAACAGTCGTAGCCACCGTGCAGCTCTGTCTTGCTGTCCTGGCTCACAAGGGGCTGATAGTGTTTGGTGTAGGACTGCGGCTGGTGCAGGTCGGCACTGCGTCCCGATGGGCCGTGTTCTGCATATTGTCCTTTGCTCTCATGTCCCCCCTGGGTGTAGCCCTAGGGATGGCTGTTGCTGGAGGGGACTCTGAAGGGGGGCGAGGCTTAGCCCAGGCTGTGTTAGAGGGTGTGGCAGCTGGCACCTTCCTGTATGTCACCTTCCTAGAAATCCTGCCCAGGGAGCTAGCAGGTCCTGAGGCCCCTTTGGTCAAGTGGGGCTGTGTAGCCGCTGGTTTTGCCTTCATGGCCTTAATTGCCTTGTGGGCCTGAAAGATTCCTGACTTTTCTGATGGATCCAGGAGACACCTCCCAAAAGGCTTTGGTCCTCAGACATTTCTCCACTGATACTAAGTGGCATTCACTAGGCATCATCCCCATGAACTGGATCCCAGCCTCTCCTATGTGAGATCCCATTGCTCATCCAGGACTGAGAAAGGGACGTTTATTTTAGGTTGAGTGCCTCTACTTTGGAGAATTGATAAAAAGACCACTGCAGATTTGACTCTTGTTCCATTTTTGCTACTGTGTATAATAAATGTCCAGTTTACCCTCCCCCTTCAAGCATGCTATTCTTTCTTTCTCCGTGTTACCTAACTGCTGCCTAGTGGAGCAGGAAGTGGGGAGGGTGAGTGTTGGATGCAGTCTCTTCTTCTGGAATCAGAGCCCCTAGCCATGTGTCACTTGCAGCCATGTCCCCCAGACATGGGAGCACTGCTGACATTCCAACAGCCCGCTCCCACCTTACCCACCAGTGTTGAGATCGTGAGCCAGAGTTCCCAGCATTTAGAGGAGAAGAGGTCTAAAAACAGAAACGGTGGGGATCTAGATTTTTTTCTACACTAACCACACCTACCCCACTCCCAGTACTTACTATCCTGCCCACATATCCAGCAAACTCTTCAAATCAGGCTCAGTGGAACCTACTTCCACCTGGTTTCTATTTTTCACACTGAGTCTTGTGTGGCTTCAGGGACATAATTGCTCTTTGAGCCTCTGTCTCCTTCCAGCTGCCTTGTGCTGCAGGATTAAGAAGCAGTGTGTTTAGAAACAGAGAAAGGCGCCAGATAAATTCCAAGGGTGATTACTTGGCTCTGCCGAGACATGGTGACTTTCCTTTTGACTGCCCTATCTGCCACTATGCCTCTGGTCCCTCCCCACTAGGCCATTTGCCTTTCAGGCGAGTAACCCCTACAATGTGCTGCTTTTCTTAAAAACTGCACAAATAAAATTTAAAAAAAACTGGTTACCTGGAATTGAGGAGGAGCAGGATGGCCCTGACCCATGAGACAGAGGAATATCTCAGACTTGGTGGAGAGACAGGGAAAGCAGAGGTGTGTCCTCTGAGCTCAGGCACCCTTACCAACTGCCCCTTCAAATACTTTCAGTGGAGAAGCTCAAGTGGCCTTAACTTGGGCAAGGTCTCCTGAGTTCCATTCTCATCTCATTTCATTTCTGTCTTCTGTCCTTCCCATTCCCCTCCCCACAAATTAAGAATAGAAACCTCCTCACCAGCACAGCTCACACACCCAGGGATCAGTGAGAAGCCAAGCTAAAGGCAAAACCAAATAAAAATGACGAAATAATTTCCCTGAAGCATCATCCCAATCTGCTTCCCTTCAGGGCTAAATGCACTCACACATAACACAGTCAGAACAGGGTCTAATATGTTGTCATGGTAATGGAGTTTCCACATTGAGCTTCTGTTATGTGCCAGGAACTCTACTGTTGCTTCTACATATGTTATCTCACCTTCCCAACCCTGCCAGGTAGATATCCCCATAGTAAGTCCAGGGAAGCGCACTCTGAAGTTAAATAACTTGATCACCTAACTAGGCTTCAAACCCATGTTTCTGTGATGCTAAGAAAACCTCAATATACAGATTCTCTTCTTACCTTCTCTTTCTCATCTTTACCTTACCTGTTCTTCCTGTCTTATGTGTAAGGGTCTCGGGAGAAAGCAGAGAGTACATTGGATAACTGAGGGGCAAGTTTAATAAAGAGAGTGTGTAGAAGGTGTGGCCAAGATTAGGACAGAGCAACAAGTGTTGATGGACCACCAGGGGGCTGAGTAATAACAATGCTGTTATCCAGGCTGAAGAGAAGGAGCAGTTACCAGAAACTCAAGAGCCATTAAGAGCTGTGGCCCTTGGTAGAAGGATACAGCAGCCTGCAGGGGCTCCATAGGAAGAGGCAGAGGAATATCTTCACACTCCTACTCTTGATCTACTGTCTTGTCTTTTACTGGCCCCGCCTAAACCAAAGCCAAAGGATAAAAACATCTGTTGGGGTATTGCTGATAGATCAGCCTGCGGAAGCATGGGTCAGAAAGAAACCTGGAGGGGCCAATAGAAAATGTCCAGCATCGGTTCTCTGCTGCTTAAGATCAACTTAAGTGATCTTGCCAGGACATTCAGAAGAATGAATTAGAAAGGACACGATTATATGGACATTAGAGAGCTATTTCTGGTTCAGAAGATTGTAAGACTATAGAAAGGAGACTTGAAGAGATGTACATTAGACTCCAAGGCTCTTCATGTGTTTCTGGGTCAGTGATGAAATCAGCAATTGAGGTAAATGAGCAGAGGTTGGGGAAATTCAAGCAGGATGACTCATGTGTTTTGCCTCCTCCCAACCCAGGAGCACTTAGATTCCCCTTTAGCCACCTCTATTTTCAGCCAGCAGTGCTTTCTTTCCTCCCATTACCATTTCCCGTTCCCAAGATCCTTACCAACCAGGACAGGAACCAGACTACAGAATAGCTCCATAAAGGGAACATCAGGATCAGGAAGAGAAACAATCTTGACTATTTTCAAAAGATCCCCCCAGCAAGAAGCCAGAGAGGGCTATAATGGAGCAGAAGATGAATGTGATTTTTAAATGGGACTGAAACCAGGAAAGATGGAATAAGAACAGGCATGAAAACCACAGGAGAGGAGGGAGAGCTGAATTCACTAGAGCATGGTGACTGGAAGCCAGAATCAGGTCTGATCCTTGATTCAGCTTTGAGAGACAGGTTGTAACTCAAGAAAATTAAGATTACGAAAGACCGTGTGTTTCCAAAATGACAGTAATGGATAGGGATACAACGAGTGGCACCAACAGCAGCACAGGCGAAAAATGCATTGAAGTGGAAAAGTGGAACGCAGTAGCCCTCTGGGCCTGGGATATTGTGGTTGATAACTGTGCCATCTGCAGGAGCCACATCATGGAGTGTCAGGCAAACCAGGCACCTGCCACTTCTAAAGAATGCAACGTTGTGTGGGGAGTAATCATGCTTTTCACTTCCACTGCATCTCTTGCTGGCTCAAAACACGGCAGGTGTGTCCACTGGACAACAGAGAGTGGGAATTCCAAAAGTATGGGCACTAGAAAAAGAATATTCTCCATTAAGCTCAATTGTTTTGTTATTCATTTAATGACTTGCCTTCCTGTTACTTAACTGTAAGTTAGATAAAATTCTGCTTTGTCTTTTCAGTTTGCTATTCCTACAATCCTATTGTGTTCTGTGTCAAAATTCAGTTGGATTCTTGGGGGGAAAAGATTATGAGTTAAGAGAATCCAAGATGGCTGCCCAGGTAAACACCTAGCCGCAGCCACACAAAACAATTTCAATAAAATACAACTAAAATATAAAATGGACACTACCCAGAACTACAGGAAAGTCAACTGACTGGAAATTCTACAACGAGAAGCAAGGAGAAAACCAGAAGGAAGCGCGGAGGAGCTGTAAAAGCCTGAGGTACGGAGACACGCGGCGTACGTGGAGAGGACGGAGCCGGAGAGGAGGGAGGCTGAGTGCCTGGCTGGCTTACTCTAGCAGGAAGGAGATAAAAGCTCCGACTGTGTTGGGCCCCAGTTCCGACTGCTCTGAACCCCAGTTCTAGGCCAGACCCCGGGGACCAGAGGGAGCTGGGCTGTAAGACGGAACCCCGGGGGAGGGCCGAAAGGAGGTCCGGGCGGCACGCACATTGTGCACAGAGAAGGGACGGTTGGCTGTGCCGCGGGATTGCCCTGGTGGGAAGGACACAGGGCCTTCAGACTGCTTTGAACGCCACCTCCAACTCCACTTCCAACTGAACTGAACCCCAATACCGGGCTCATTGGGGGAGAGCCTAGACTGTTTGGTAGCAGGCGAAAATCGAGGGCACCTTTCTCTCAGAGACCTTTGCAACGAGTACTGAAGGACTCTGAGACCCAGGAGCCACATAGGGCGGGGCTGACGGAAGCCAAGGCTGTAGGCTCCACCTTGAAACCCCGCCCCATCTGTAGCTGCGAAATGCGACAAAGAAATAGATCACAAACGAAAGAAATGGAGGACAAAAAGCGACTGGATATAGAGTTCAAATCTACGCTTACAAGGTTTTTCAAGACTTTCCTAGAAAAGATCGATAAGACCTATGAAGATATGAAAAGAGATCAACTAGAATTAATAAGGAATCAACAAGAAATGTTAAGGGATCAACAAGAAATGTTAAGGGATCAACAAGAAATGATAAGGGATCAACAAGAAATAAAGAGTACATTGTCTGAAATAAAAAATATTATACAGAGTCCTAAAAACAGAATGGAAGATCGCAAGAATCAAGTCAAAGATTTGGAACATAAAGAGCCAGAAGACACTCCTCTGCAGAAGCTAGAAGGCAAAAGAATCCAGAAAATTGAAGATAATGTAACAAACCTCTGGGACAACTTCAAGCGAACCAACATCAGAATTAGGGGGGTCCCAGAAGATGAGAGAGCAAGATATCGAAAACATACTGAAAGTAATAGTGACAGAAAACTTCCCCCACCTGGGGAAAGAATTAGACTTACAAGTCCAGGAAGCGCACAGAACTCCAAACAAAAGGAATCCAAAGAGGACCACACCAAGACAAATCATAATTAAAATTCCAAGAGCAAAAGACAAAGAGAGAATATTAAAAGCAGCAAGAGCAAAGAAGGTAGTTACCTATAAAGGAGCACCTATACGATTGTCAGCTGATTTCTCAACAGAAACCATGCAGGCCAGACGGGAATGGCAAGAAATATTCAAGGTGATGAATAGTAAGAACCTATAGCCAAAGATAATCTATCCAGCAAAGCTATCACTCAGAATCGAAGGCCAGATAAAGAGCTTCACTAATAAAAAAAAGCTAAAGGAGTTCATCACCACCAAACCAGAATTATATGAATTGCTGAAGGGGGTTCTTTCAGAAGAGAAAGTAAATAAAGATAAAAATTATGAACAACAAATATGTAACTATCAACAAGTGAATCTAAAAACCAAGGAAATTTAAAAAAATCTGATGAACAATATTAACTGTTGAATATTATAGAATCATAGGTATGGAAGGGGAGTGAACTGACGATTCTTGGGGAAAAGGGGAGAGGGGGATGTGGGAAGAGACTGAACATAAACTGTGTACCTATGGATGAGGACAATGGGGGGTGGGGAAAGGGCAGAGGGTGGGATGGGAACCTGGTGGAGGAGAGCAATGAAGGGGGAGGGGGAAAAAAGGAACATTTGTAATAATATGAACAATAAAAATTTATTTAAAAAAAAAGATTATGAGTTAAACAAAAATAGGAGGGAAGATATGTAGGATGGGGAAATGGATAAGAATAGAAGCTAGTTGGAATGGTCACAAGAAAATTTATGTGGAACAGTTTTCAAGTCTTAATCCCTGTTCCCCATTCTCATTCTCCACCTCACAGATGGATTGTTTATATTTTTAAACAGGAAAAGAAATATCAGGAAAGCTAAAACCGGTTTGGCTCAGTGGTAAAGCATCGATCTGCGGACTGAAAGGTCCCGGGTTCGATTCCGGTCAAGGGCATGTACCTTGGTTGCGGGCACAACCCCGGTAGGGGGTGTGCAAGAGGCAGCTGGTCAATGTTTCTCTCTCATCGACGTTTCTAGCTCTCTCTCTCATTTCCTCTCTGTAAAAAATCAATAAAAATATATTTAAAAAAGAAATATCAGGAAAAATAGAGAACTCTGACTGGCCTCCAGAGCCAGGTTTCCATTTTTGTACCAATTAATAGCTCTCTGAAGTAAACCTTGGAGCCCCCACCACCTGTCCTCTGCTAACAGGTTAGAGATTGATTTTGGATACTGCAGTTGTAAGATGATATTATGTGAAGACAATGAGATGGGGAACTGCATCAAAGAGAAACCAGTTTAACAAGTGTACTAGAGCAAGGTGGGAGGTCCCTCAGAATAAGATACACCCACGGCAAAACCCGAAGATCTGTAGGCATACTCTTGTAAGATAATTTATGTCACTTTACATTTTCTATAAAGGACAATTTTCCAGGGTCTTGCCTCACTCAGGATAGGACACTGTTGATTCTGGCTCTGATAGTTAGAATACAAGGACTGGAGGCCAAAATCAGAGTGCGTAGGTACATGTGGGTGTGCCAACCAGTCAGATATCCTCACACTGACTGTGGGAGGAGCCCATGGACCCTACCAAAGGTGAAGTGAAGGGGGTGCAGACAGGGATCCTTAAAGTTTTCTATTATTTCCTTTTTCTATTTTTTTTTTGAGTTGCTGTCTTTAGATTTGTTAACTGTCAAATACACAATGCATTCTACTTTTGCTATATATTTATCCATCCCATGTGCTACAATTTCATTGTTTGTGTACCTTCAGAGAATTACCCTTTAAAATCTCTTCGTGAGTTCCCACAGTTTTCAAGTGGACACTGCAATGCTCTTATCACTGTAATCCACAGTTTTATTCTCCTTTCCAATGAGCCATCTCTTAGCTATCTTGGACTTCTGTCCCAAGAGACAAGGAAACACATTCCTTGAGATTGAAAGAGAGAAACTGGAGTCCTAAGGCTGAAGCAGAAACAAAAAGTAAGGAATTTGTGGTTCAGCTTCTATGAAGTGACACCCCCCCGCTTCCTGTGAGCCTCTGAGCTCTGATCTGGAGAATGGACAGAAGCCACCAGCATGGTATCAGGCCTACCCTATGTAACTACTCTGTAGATTCTGGAAGACCATGGGAGACTCTGGAAGGGAACTGGGAGCTGGAGAAAGTTAGGAGAAACCATGACAACCACAGGGGGGCACTGTGTCCCCATGGGCTCGCCTGGAATGTGTAGGACCAACAAAGTAGAGAGGTCAGCCAAGGACAGCACACCCCTCTCCCTTGCACCCAGCAGACAGCCTCTCTCCCTCTCCCTAACTTGGGCTTCTTATGCAGGGACATCTATAGGCAAGAGACACACATGGTCATCACCCATTTCACATACCACCTCCATGGCGAGTACATACACACCCACTCACATTTTACACAGAAATGAGATTTTTCTCCCTCTTTCAAAGATTACCCTGCTAGCCCTGGCCAGATACTCAGTTGGTTAGAGCAACATCCCAATACACCAAGGTTTCAGGTTTGATTCCCACTCAGATCACATTCAAAAACCCACTAATGCCCAGCCGGTGTCACTCAGTGGTTGAATATCAAGAAGTCACAGTTTGATTCCCAGTTAAGGCATATGCCAGGGTTGTGGGCTCAATCCCCAGTTGGAGGAATTCAGGAAGCAGCTTATTTTTAAAAATATTTTATTAATTTTTTACAGAGAGGAAAGGAAAGGGATAGTTAAAAACATCGATGAGAGAGAAACAACGATCAGCTGCCTTCTGCACAACCCCCACTGGGGTTGTGCTCGCAACCAAGGTACATGCCCTTGACCAGAATCAAACTTGGGACCCTTCAGTCTGAAGGCTGATGCTCTATCTACTGAGCCAAACTGGCTAAGGCAGGAAGCAGCTTATTGATGATGTTTCTCATTGGGGTTTCTATCTCTCTAGTCCTTTCCTTCTCTCTCTAAAAATCAATAAAAACATACATTTTTAAATCAACCAATGAATGCATAAATGGAACAAATCGATTTCCTCTCAAAAATCAATGTGTTTTTTTTTTAAAGGGTGAAATTTTTTTTATTATTTTTAAAAAGATAACAGTGCTTGTCTTCATGTTTTGTTTACCTAGGAGCTAATTATGTCAGTGATTCCAATTATGTGGTTTCTTTTCTTTAGTGTGACATTTAAGCACCTGCTGCCTGCCCTGTGCATGGTCACCAAACACCCTCACCCTCCTGATCCTGGCCTACTGCATTTAAAATAGTTCAGTGCTATGAGAGTGATGAAATGCTCAAGCATCAAGAGCATGTTCCATGCCCCACTTCCACGTCAGTGTGTCAGTGCTAGACATCAAGCTGCGTTAGTCATCAGGTCTGTTTCACTGAGGAAAGTGTATACTTGTCCATGGGGTTTCTATAAAGTAATCTGGCAAATGACCTTGTACTATTATTCCATCTGCAGTTCTTGGACAATAACACTATAAAGTGCCTCCTCATTTTTACTTCTTGTGCCCCAAGAGCCCAAGGATCAGCCTGCAACAGCCACAAAATACCTGAAGTTCTCTTGATGATGATTGTTCATAATTGTTGAGAAGGTTCTCAAAAAACCACAGGCATAGTCTAATTAACTCCCCTAACTTGGATTTGGAAGGAGGAATTCCTGAGAGGAAATCCTGGGTGCTGTGACTCACCTGAAAGAATCTTCAGATTGGGATCAACTGAGCAACCCAATAACCCCTCCAGAAACTGCACGAGGTGTGGTCTGCTGATGGTATTGAATCACCTAAAATGGAATCTAGGTGACCCCACAGAGGTTCCTGCAGGAAGGTGGTCACAAGGTGTCCTTGAATACTTCAGTTGGCTTTCTGCACTTCCTTAAAATTATGATGTTGGTGACATCTCTGTAATCCCATGGCATTTCTCAACCAACAAGGAAGTCTTCTAAGGTCTAAGTAGCTCCTCTCCCAAAATGTGAAGATATTATCAATATCAAGGACAATACCATTGTCCATTCCATTGAAAAAGGGCTGGTGACTGTAAATCACATTTTGTGAAGTGTGTATGCTATGAAAGCCCCCTCCCATGGTCTATGTCATTTGGAGAAGAGAATGTGAGAGTTGGGCAGGGATAGGGTAGGAAAGGGGCATGATGCAAGCACACTGAGACAGAGTAATAGTGGTGCTCAGATTCCTCTACAGTTTATTGTTACAGCAGAAGTTGTGGGAGACAGGAGAGCACCCTCCACACATAACACACTGTGGTCAGAGCCCCAAGGTAGCCCTTCACACCCCTATGCCAAGCCCCAAGCAGCCCTGCCCTGGCTTGGTCCCCTCCCCCTCCCACTCTAGACACACACTGTCTAGACAGCTACCAAAGTTAGTGGAGCCAATGCCCCCAGGCCCCTTCCTATTGCCCAGCTCTAATCCTTCCCTCAAATTTGTTCATTGTCTATCACTTCCCAGTCTAATTTCCATTCACACTCCAGATGTTTCTATCACATCCTGAGGATCACTAACTTACCAGCAAGTCTCCCTGACACATTCATTTAGGCCCATAGCCTTCAGAGATCTGAAGGGTTAATGTGAAGCCATATCCACTTTGGTGAATGGAGACCCAGCACCAAGACCCTTACCCTTACAATGGGATGAGTAGGGAGAGTCTGGGGCAGGCACCATGGACATCTACAATGACCACTTATCCCTCATCTACAGACACCTAGATTAAGGAGAGGAGGACGCATGCCCTCTCCCACCTTAACAACAGAATGAGGGAGAAGGATCATTTAGGGGTCTGAGTCCCTAAGCGATATTAGGACAGCTCTCCCAGGAGCTGAGGGGTATCACAGGTTAGAGGTCAAAATTAGGGTAGCAATCAAAGATCAAGGTCATCTCCCCACATGATATGCCCATCTTCCCTTGCTCGCTCTGGCCCAGTGTTCTACACACCTCCCAGGTTAGTGCTGGGGGAGGTGAGGCTGGGTCCCACACCAGGACTATAAGGGCCATTCAACAGGAGACCTCCATGGTGTGCCCTGGGGTCCCTGAAGGGAGGGTCCCAGACTCGCTGCTCTGGGACAAGGTTCGAGCACGGGACCTGCTGCCATCAATAGATGCCGCACTGGTCAGGGAAGCTGTGCGAGATCGGGACAGGCGAGTCATGCAGGATGAGGCCACTGTGGAGACAGAAGGGTAAGCAGGCAGTCAGAAAGGAGGAGGGGAAGAGGGGCTGGCAACTCAGTGCGCGGTGTGAGTTACAAATGGGGCCAGGGGTCAATGAGCTTGATTTGGCAGATGGTGGTAAGTCCAGGAATCAGCCTAAATGGTTCCTCCCCTCAGTGGCCATCCCTCATCCTTGCAGCAATCTCTGTCCTCATGATAGACTCTGACCCCCATACTCACTGTAGCCCATGCCTTGCAGGAAGTACTTGAAGGCCTCGGTCAGCTTGCCTGGCTGAGGAAGTAAGATGAGAAGAGGGAGACAGTGATGTGAGGTTATGAGCTGAGCGGGAGCCCAAGTCCATGGCAGTTTGGGGATGGGATGTGTGGCAACGGGTATATATAGTTCAGTGACATTAATACCCCATTCCCCGGATGGCTGGGGATACTCACCTGAGTCAGCTGGGGCTGACCTCCAGAGTCGGCCATCTATTCGGGAGAGAGCCCCCCCAAAAAAATGATACACACATAAATAAAATGAGCTAGCCAAGAGACAGAAAGGATCTCTCTTCCCTGCTTCCCTACTCTAGGCCCTTATGATTGTTTGTTTGTTTGTTTGTTTGTTTGTTTGTTTTACTTCATCCACCCCACTTACTCTAGGCAGGACCCTGGAGGCCTAGAAGCTGAGTCTAGGATTCGGGATATAGCTCTGGACAGGGGGCCGGAGTCAGACTGCACATGAAGCAGGGTTACTGACCTTGAGGAAAGAAGTCTGGGTGGGGTCCAGTTTTGAATTACATTCCACCTGGAGTAAGTAGGAAGCTGAATGAGTGAGGTCACACTCCCTGTGGTCCCACCCATCCAAGGGGCCCTAGGACCCAATCCCCTGTTGCTTTCCTACCAGCCCCTACCCATTTCCTTCTTAAAAGAAATCAACTTCTTATGCACCAAAGTTGCTCTTTGTGTCACAAACAGAGCTTGCATCCTGGCAAGAACACCCTCTAACCACCATCCTAAGACCCCAGCCCTCCCTCACCCAAGCTCCCATTCCCTACTGACCACTGCATCTTCATGGGGTGCCTGGTCTCCAACCACCAGCATCACAGGGCACCTAGAGGAGAGGATGGGAGAGGAGGTGGTGAGCTGGTACTCACTCACCCACCTCTTCCCAAAGAGCAGCCAGAAAATGTCTGGCTCCAAAGAGGAAGCAGCCTTCTAATCCCTACCTCCCCACCAAGAGGATTCCAAGGAAAAAGGCCTGGACTGCAAGCATGTCAAACTCTGACTGCGAGTTGGCATGCTTGACCTAGAGGGTGGTGGTTTGCTAAATGGGATGAGGTGGAAAATAACAAGAAAACTCCCTGGCAAAGGACCCTCCTTCTAAAGGATACAAACAAGCACCTAGAGAGAGACAAAGCTGTATCGCTTAAAGCCATGGTCGGCAAACTGTGGCTCGCAAACCACGTGCGGCTCTTTGGCCCCTTGAGTGTGGCTCTTCCACAAAATACCATGGCCTGGGCGAGTGTATTTTGAAGAAATGGCATTAGAAGAAGTTAAGTTTAAAAAAAATTGGCTCTCAAAAGAAATTTCAATAATTGTACTGTTGATATTTGGCTCTGTTGACTCATGTGTTTATTGACCACTGAGCTAAAGTCTTACTTGAGGGTGATATCACCTCCACGCTCAAAGTTCAGGTCTCGGCGGCTAGAAAGGGGTAAAAAGAGTAGGAATTTTAGGCAGGCAACACTATCCATCTAGACGTAAGTTATATCTCCCATGTGAAAACTATCTTCCTCCCAAAAACTATAGTCAAAATACTGGTGTTTACAGTGGGAACCACCTACCACCAAAGGGGAAGGTGGTAGGCTGGCCTCAAGAGCAATTCCTATTGCCTCTAGGGGGAGAGGTAGCACCTCACAATTCTTCTCACTGGGACTGCCCTTCAGTTGTCCCAGTTGCACACCAAATCATGTCCTCCTTGCACACGGTGTACTTTCCAGACTTCCCTCTTCTCCCTGCCTCCTATCACCCCCAGTCACTGCTTCTAAATTGTTCTCTCTCTCTCTCTCTCTCTCTCTCTCTCTCTCTCTCTCTCTCTCTCACACACACACACACACACACACACACACATACACACACACACACACACACAATCACTCACTTGTTGTAGCTGTTCCAGTACAGTTCAATGTTCTCTATGTTGGGTGCATGTGTAATGATATTTCTATACTTTTGTATCAACTCAGAATTTCCTGACAGCTCTTCCTGAAGGAAAGAAGAGGGAGAGAAATTAGGGTTGGGAAGAGAAGCCAACAGTTACCCAATGCAAAAAGTTGTCCCTTCCTGGATCCTGTCCCAGTTAAGAAAGTCACCCCAAGCATCCAACCCTCTGCTGGTCCCCTCTTTTTCCTCCATCTCCACAACCACTTACCTGGCTGAAAAGATGTCCAAGTATCATCTCCGGAATGGAAGAGGTGAGGCCTGTTAGCTGTGAGGAAAGGCATGTGAGAAAGCTCAGAACATCATGGGGAGACTCAGGCAAGGGACACACTTCTTCCCTGCCCTATGTCCCCCTCCTTGAAGTTCACAGGCCAATCAGTTGTACCAGTAGAGCCTAACTGGACCCATGCGAGGGAACCCCCACCCTAACTCAGCACACAGAACATTCCAAACCTTGTGGGCTGCCCAGTCCATCCAACCCTTGGCATTGGGGTCAATGTTGATGAGGACAAGTCCCTCGACTGTATCCTGGTGATTAAGCTGAAGGGCAGCAGGAGGAAGGGAAATCAGAGGCAGGGCATGGTCTCATCCCCTCCCCAAGTTCTACCCACTCTTAGGCTCCCCTGGGGCCTCCCTCCCCACCCCCAGACCCTTGTCCCCCTGCCCAATACACAATAGCAAGCAACACTCTCTAAATCGGCCAACCATGGGCCTTGGCCCTGCCTTTCCCTTCTCTGGGGGCTTTTAGTTCTTACAGCATATCGCGACAAGATGTAGGCTCCAGCTCCAACACCAACTCCAATTATTGAGGAGAAACTGTGAAAGGGAAATGTATGTCTACTTGGTGTCTGAAACTTTGGCTCTCTATACACCTTACCCGCTGTCCTAAGGCCACAGGCATAGAGTACAGAAGGGTCCTGGCAAGGAACTAAAAACTGACACGGGTGGTCAGTGTAGGTCCCGAAGTCTTTCCCCAGCTCCCTTTTGGACAGCTAGTGTCTTGAAAAGAAACACCCATCTGCCAACCAGCCAGACACAGTTTTCCTAGGTAGCTTTTTGTCCATTCTCAATTTTCAGAAGCTAGTGCAACTTGTTCTGTTTTAATTCCTACTTCCTCTATAGGAATGAGAAGAAGGGAACTGAAGCAAGATACAAAAATAAGATACCACTTCAGTGAACAACAGGAAAAATGGCGTTAAAGAGGGACAAAATGTGAACCAGAGCCATCTGGGGCCCTGGTGTCCAGGAAGGGGCCAAGGACAGTGCACTCCAAGGTGGCCTCACCTGGCATTCTCCTCCTTCGCCCACCCTCCCTTCCACACAGGGCTCCCAGTTCCCAGGTGTGTGTATAGAAGAGGGGGAGTGGGAGGAATGGAGACAGGTCTATCTGGTTCCTCAGGGATTATGTCACCCCTTCCTCTTCCTGTTTAGCTTTCTGGTCCCTCCTCGGCCTGCGGCAGGGCCTCAGATAGCTCCTTCCCCTTTCTGTCCTCCATCCATTAGGGCCACTCGCTGACTCTAGTCAGTTTTCCAAACCCACCCTTCTTCCTCTCAACAATCAGACTGGGAACGTGGAGGGGACCTTTCTTTACATCTAGGCTAGAAACCAAAACTCTGCCAGCAACCATGGTGGACACAGGAGTTCTCAGGGCCAGGGTGCTGGAAAGAGAAACCTGGCTGGAGGGATCCCCAGGCTTCTCACTTTAAGTACTGCAGGATGCAAGGGATGGTGTCCGCAAGCTGGTCCAGAGACGGGTACTGATACCTGGGGAAGAGAGGAAAGTTCGTGTTTCAACAGAAAAATATCAACCTGTCCCCACCGCCCTTATCTCAGAGTGTCCTCTCTCAGAATCACTGCTGCCCTCCCTTTACTCCTTCCCTGGTCCAGCCTTCCCCGCACCTGCCCTGTGCCTCGCAATCTGACGAGGAGGGAGGGAGTTAATTCTCACCCCACGGGGTACACAGGAGCCCCCTCTTCCATCCCAGGGGCATTCACATGAACCCGCACGAAGTTCTGAATAATTTCCTGCATGTCCCCGGATTGGAACAGCGGCTGGAAGCAAGATTTATCTAAAGAGAATCCCCAACACCCCAACAATAGGATCAGACAGGGAAAAGTGTCCCCAAGTCAAAGCCCACCCTCCTCCAGGCCACAGTCAGACGAAAAGAGAACTTTTCGACATGCCCCATGGTCCCTTCCTGCCCCAGAAGAGCTTTCCCTCACACTGGGATTTACCCCCGCCCCTCCCCAGTTCCTCAGCCTCCTCCCAGAAAGAAGTGGGAGGGGAAGGGAAGGTCCTTACAGTTGAGTCCCACATCATGGTAGGTGAGTATCGCTGGGCGTTTGGGTTTGGGGGTACCATAGACAGTAAAAGTGACAGAGCCATAAGGTGTCTCCACCGAGTGAGTCTGCAAGAAAACAGATCACCATCAGGTGGGAGTCAGGCTGAGAGGGAAAGAGGCAGGAGAGAGACCTCCACAAAAGTTGGGGAATTGGCATGGGGGAGGGGCAGAGAGGGATGAATGGAACAAACTATTGGACATAGGGTCAAAAGAAATTTAACGTAGGTAAATATAACAGTGGGATGATTTTGAGGGTGGAAAAGAATGAGGAATGATTGGAAAGCATCAAGGAACACTGAGAAGGGAGAACAAGGGGAGAAGGGGAAAGCTGGGGATGGGCAAGGAACGGATTAGAAGGAAAGGTAGCAGAGAGGAGAGCCAAGTAGGAGGGCCTTTCTTTCCTCCCACCTGGAACTGCCCCCAGCTGTTACCTGTCCCCGGTCTAGGAGGATTCTGGCAGCTAACTCAGCCTCCTGGAGAGAGAGAGACACACACAGACAGATCCACACAGAAACACACAGCCATGTAGAGTGGATAAACAGATGGAGAGACAGACATAGAGAAAGAGAGGTAGGTGAAGAGGCCAAAGACAGAAAGAGATGACAAAAAGAGACATGGAGAGGATTAAGATTAGTATAGTGACATGACAAAGGCCTGGACTCCCAATTGTGGTATAATATATGGGGAGAGAACCATGGGGAGGGGTGGAGAAAGTAGGAGTGTGGATTAGAATGAGATTTTGGATTTGGAGGTCTGGAATTTGGGCCTAGCAGTCATAGGGTCTTGAATAACCTTGGCCATCTCGGGTGTCTGCCCTGGTAACAGCGGCCTCTCCTCCGTGATCTGCACCTCCTGCAGCTCCGTCATGGTGGCCTGGCAGGATGAGGAGACACCAAGACTGGGGAGGTTGCCTCCACACCCTCCCACCTCCTCCAATACCTTCTTCCTCTCTCAGAACAGGGCCATGCAGGGTGCAGGGCCCCAGGAGCTGATGACCCCAGGACACAGCCAGCCTCTCCCGCCCCAGCTCCATGTCCAGGCCACTGAGGGGAAGAGCTGTGTAAGAGGAACCTGGACAGCACTTTCTCTTCAGACTGCATCCCCATTGCTCCCCTCAACACCCACACTTTGAGACACACACACACACACCCCTTTCCTATCCTGGATGGAAATACCAGCCGTGGGGCAGCAGGCCAGCTCAGGTTTCCCAGGTTACATCTAGGGGCCAACCCCTACTCCCAATTAGATAGGAGTGACTCCCTAACTGGCTACTCCAACGATACTAAGGGACAGGTAGAGAGTGTTCACAACTGCCTATGACCTTCAACTACAGCCCCAATGTCAGCAGCTCAAAAGGAAAGGGGCTAAAAATGCCCTGAGTAGCATGGCCAAGAGAGGGGGGGAAGGAAAGGGGGCGGACAAGAAAAGGGGGACAAGGGACATCTGTGTCCAACTGACCGCATGTTTCCCTTCCTCCCAAGACTCTCTCTCTCTCCTTTCCCACTGTGAATAAATTAACAGACATTCAATATTAGGGGCGGGTGAGGAGCAAAGCAGCCGCAACAGTGAAGAGCCTACAGCCTGGGGGTGGGGTCACTTACTGAGTTCCTATTGGCTGGATGCAGTGGGGTTAGGGGTCAGGGTTCTCACTGCTCCTGGCTCTGGGGTCTGAGAAAACAAGGCAACGGGGTGAACGGGGTGAGCGATGACAAGGGAGACAGACAGGCAGACCCTGGCATGAAACCTCAGCCAAGACTTAGATGACCCAGGGGCACCCCTCTCCCCAAGTCCCTAAACGGTCCCAGTTTCTACCCCTGAGTCCAGCGAACGTTTTCTCTAGGTTTCGCCTAGAGTCACTGCAGCTGGAGGGCCGGCGGGGCGGCACGGATGCCAGTCCCGGCCCGGGGTGGGAGAGAAGGAAGTGCTGATGTGGAGGGAGGCGCGTGGCTGGTGTCAGAGCCTGGATTCTGGTCCTGGCTCCGCCGCCCGCCACCCGTGTGACCTTGGCCCAATCAGCGCTGCCGGCCTCGATTTCCTATTTGCAAGCTAAAAAGTAGGAACCAGGGAGCCCCTGGATTTTTGACAGCTCTGGAGCGATAAGAGGACGGCAGCGCATGCCAGCTTCCCTCCGCCATTTAAAAGGAGAACTTGGAAAGCCCTGTGCCTTCGCTTCGCTCCTCCATCCAGCCTCGGTGGGGGGGTCCCACGAGTGGGGAAAGGCGGGGAAGGCGGTCCCACAACCTCCTCCCAGCCTCCCCGGACCGACGACCCCAAAAGGGCCGGGCGCCAGCCGGGAGGGCGGAGAGGAGGGGAGGGAGGGACCGGGCCCCGCACCCTGGACCTGCCCAGCGAGTCCCTCGTGGAGACACACAGACAGCCGCGCGCGGCGCCTTGCGCCCGGGGCACCACCTCGCGCACGTCCCGAACACGCCCTGTCCGCCGCCTCCGCCTTTGTGCGCAGCGGCCCAGCCCCGCCGCCCGGGCCCGGCCCGCCGACGGCCGGCTCGGGGGACCGAGATCGGGGCGCCCACCGCCCCGCGGGCGCCGCCGGGCCCGGGAGCCCCCCCGCCCGCCCGCCCCTCCCCCTACCTGCTGCCGCCGGGGCCGCGTCCACCTTCACTTGCCTTTGACTCTCCGGCCCTCCCGGGCTCCGGCTCCCCGCAGACCCGCCCCCGGCCCGCCCCGGCCCGCCCACGGGCCGTCAGCTCCCCGCAGACCCGCCCCCAGACCCCCGTAAACACGCCCCCCTCACCCCGCCCCAGACCGCGGGCAGCTCGGGAGGGGCATTGCCGAGATCCGAGGGGAGCGCTAAGGAACGCGACCTGGTGCTTCCGGGAGAAGCTCGCGCTCCCCACCACGGCCCCCCGCAATCGGGCGGTGGTGGGGTGCGTAGGGGACCCCGCAATCCTGCGGGGGATTCCCACGCCCGCCCAGAACACCGGCCTCCCCCGTGACCTGGATCTGCCTATCGCACTGTGGCTCCGCCCTTCGCCCCCAGACTCAGCGGTGGGGACTGGGATGGGGAGGGGGGAGACCACTCAGGGCGCTGACACCCCACGATTTCGACTCCGCCCGCCGCACACGGGGAGCCTGGCTGAGGACGGAGGAGGAGGTGGGCGGGGAGGGCCCCCCACCGCAGCAGAGGCGGGGGTCCCGCCAGCCCGGAGGGGCAGGTGTGTCCGCCCCGACGGAGGGTGGGGGCGCCCGCAGCGCGGAGGGCCAGCTCCGGGGCACCCGGGGTCCCCGTACCTCCTCTCTCCGCGGAGCGTCCCGGCGCCTGCGGTCCGGTCCGGCTGCTCCCGGAGAAGTTGGAAAACAAGTCGGGGAAGGGGGGTAGGGAATGCGGGGGGCCGCTATAAATAGAGAGCGATCACAAGAGGGGGGAAGAGGATGGCCCAGCGGAGTCTCCAGGGTCAAGGCCCCGAGGGGGGAAGAGGGGGGTCGGAGGAGGGGCCAGGGACCCCCAGGAGCTCGGACTCCCGGGTAAACAGGCGCGGGGGCGGAGTCAGCTCCGCGGGGGCGGAGTGGGGGCTTGGGGAGGACGCGGTGTCCCGGGCTGGGACCCAAGAGACCCTGTGGCTCCGGCCCTCACCCCTCCTGGCCCAGCCCCGAGGAGAAGGGTGAGACCAGCCGGGCGGACCGAATCGCAGAGCCTAGGCGACGGTTTCTCGGGGACGGCGGCTTCTCTCTCGGGGCTTGGGTAGGTTTTGCTGTCCTAGGCTCCTTCCTCTCTTGCCCAGCTCTCCCTCACCGCTAGACGCACCCTCCCTTGTGCCCTTAAAAGGAAGACCCCCTCGAATGGGGTGTTTATGTGGCTGAGAGAATTCGAAGTTTGTCCAAAGGAAACTTGGTTGGATGTTTCCCCACCTGCACCCCTGTTCGCTCCCCTCCTCCCAGAGAGCCCACCCCGTCCTCTCCTTCAGCCCGGTTCCCGAGTTGCCTTTTTCGGGGTCTGGGCGCTAGGCCAGTTGGGGAACAATAGCCAAAGGAACTGAAGCTGCCAACTGCAACACCAGCACAGGCTGCCCCCGCCCCTAAGACCCCCAAATTGCCTACCCCCTCCTGCCTGGAAACCACCCCCACAACCCCCCTCCCATCCAAGGACCATCAATGCCCCTTTCATCCCCACTTGGCAGGGTCTGTTGGAAAAAAGGAGGGGCCGAGAGGGAGGAGGTGACCCAGAGTAGAACTGGTCAAAATAAAACCCAGCTTTCAGCTACCCCAAATCTAAGGAACCCCCCTCCATTCCCTAGATGAAGCACCAAGTTTTCCTTTATTCCCTTCCCCCCCACTCATTTCAGAACTGTTTTCCCACAAACTGGCACAGAAGCTGGGCACCCTTGGCTCCCAGCCTAGTCCCCTCTCCCCAGTTTAACTCTCTCCTGGACAAGGAAAACCTGCGGGAATTAGGGACGTACATAAAGAAGCCTAGGACAGGGGATAAATCTTACCAGCCCTCCTGGAAGTAGGAGGAATAAAGTCGAGAATGAGAACTTTTGCTCGCTGGCTTCTCTTGTGTGTCTAAAGTAGTCTTACTTGGATTGGGGGAGGGAAGAACCTGGAGGTTCCAGCATCTAAATTCAGCCCTGGGTCAGGATGACTCAGGGGGAACCTGATAAGGGGCCTACCCAGGGGTGCGGGGCGGCCTGAGGCGGGAAATTTCCACTGGGATAAGTTTACTTCCTAGGCCTTAGGGGTCTCAACCTGCTGTTCTCCCCTAAAATGTGCCCAGCTGCTCCTCTTTAGCTGGGATAGACGAAAGAAATGAGGCTGCTTCTGCCCTAAGAGAGGGTTCCTCTCTGTCAGGGAAGTTCCCAGCCCGGCCCTGGTGTAAGTGGCCCCACAAAGATAGCAGCTCTCTCTAACTTCCTTCTCTTGGGCCAGAACCAGCTTCAAACTGTACCTTCAACGAAGTGACAGTTTTAAGTACCTACTATGTGCAAGCCACTGGAAGGATGGAATGCAAAGAAATGTGAAGTCTAGTCATACCCTCTCTAGAAGCTTATACTGAAATAGTTGAGAGATAAAGATAGAAAAAGTTTGCCTGGCTGGCATGGCTCGGAGGTTGAGCATTGACCTATGAACCAAAGGTTCGGTATGCCTGGATTGTGGGTTCAACCTTCAGTGAGGGGCATGCAGGAGGCAGCCAATCATTGATTCTCTTTCATCGATGTTTCTACCTCTCTCTCTCTCCCTCTCTAAAATCAATAAAATATTTTAATAGAAAAAGTTTAAAATATATGTAAAATTAATTATTTAAACAATTAAGTCCTATGGCAGTAATTTCTCACCCTTCTCAAGTGGGAGATCAGAGATTTCCATTCCCACATGATAGTTGTAGTATCCCTGATGAAAAGAAACCATGAATTCAGGAAAAATTCAAGTAAGTTTGTACAGTATTCTAATAATCACAACATCTTTTAATATAGTAACTAGAGGCCCAGTGCACAAATTCAGGGTGGACTGATGGGGCGAGCCGGCCGGAGGTTAGGGGCAGCAGCTGGTTGGTGGGCTGGCCCCACCCCCTGGTCGAACTCCTAGTTGAACTCCCAGTAGAGGGGATAATTTGCATATTAACCTTTTATTATATAGGACTAGAGGCCCGGTGCACAAATTCGTGCACAGGTGGGGTCTGGCTGGCCCGCCCTGATTGGGCCATCAGGCTAGGCCAGCCAGAGGGAGGGGTCATGGGAGGTTGGCTGGCTAGCACCACACCCTTGATGGCCTCAGCAAGGGAACAGAAACCACCAGAATGCTCTGCAAACAGGTTCTGAGCTCCCTTTGGTCAGGCAGACTCAGAGCTGGTGCCTCTGTGTGCATATACATTAGACACAGCCCGGCACTTGCCTTTGTCTGTTGGTCAAATCCATTGC